CCACACACACACTTGCCTAATGCCTACTGGGCCCAAAAACATATACGCATCTACATAATGTTAAAGAGTATAAATACAATTAAAACAGTCTGAAGAAATAATTGATACCGTATCAGCGACATGACGCTGTCCCCTGCAGATCAAGTCTAGAGTCAGATAAGCTACAACAATGCACTTTAATGAACACGCTCTGAGCATAGCACACCATGGGTGACCAAAAGCGTGTACAAATTAGAGCCACGCTGACAATAAAATAAAATGTACTGACAATAACTTAAGACAGTTTCGCTGATATAGTTACTGATGAAATGCAATATATTAATTAATAGCCTTATCCTTCAATAATGTAAGCAACTGAGAAACCAAATTGACAACCAGATACTCTTTCTATGCAACCTAAGGGCAATTTGTAAAGGAAGTGTCAAGGTAGTTGTGTAGACCCCAATTGGGGACTACGTTATCATACTGTCTAGGTGGTCCCCATTGCTCCCGTAAACCCCAATTCATCATCATGTGTCTCTCAGTCTTGTTCCCTCCACTTTACACTCTAGTAGTACAGTCCTGCAGATAAAGGAGTGGCATTTTATGTGTCTGAAATACTGTAATTTTCTTGTTTTTATCTGTTGTAACAATTGTGTTTAGAAGGTGGCAAACTTGTTCATTTATTTTTCTCCCCGTCAATCTATATACAGTGCGCCCATAAAGTCCTGACATTGCACTGTGACCTATTTTTCTCTATTTTAGTGTGTTTATTTCCCATTGTTGTGCTCGGTTACAATGTGAACACGTCAACTGATGCACACTTGCTGTGTTTTGAAACTGCAATAAAATATAGAAAAATAGGCCACAGTGCAATGTCAAGACTTTGGGGACACACAGACTCTTTATAATTGCGTAAGGGGAAAAAGGGGGGGGGGGGACTTGGCTATTTTCTGTTGCCTTGAACTCCAAAACCACCCAACCATATTATGACTTCAACATTTTCAGGGTACATTAGGCATTCTTTTTCTCCCCCAAAGAGATTATAATAGAACTAGAGGTTGCAGCTGTGACGTCACCCGGCACGTAAACTCACTATTGCTGTGCGGGCCACTGACCTAAAACTATAGTGCGGGCCCTCACAGTTCGCTTTGTCGCCATTTTTTGTGAGGATTAGAAATAGCGTTGTCACGCCGCGCATCACTCGCAACGCCTAGGTCTTCGTAGAGTGTGAAGCTCAGTTCTGTTAAGTTTTCTTTTAGTTTGCTGTTGTTGTTTCATCATATGACTTACACGCATCCTAACTGTGTTGCAGGTGCCGTAAAACTCTTACTAAAACGAAAAAGACTTACACGCATAAACAATACTGCACCTGCTGACCGATTGTGGGAAACATCACTTAAATGTGGGATACAAATGAACAGAGAGATATAATGTGAGGTATTTTTTCCCGATAGGGAGTGGGGGAGGGGCGGAGGGAGACAAAGTGAGTAATTGAGTTTGTTAAGAAAAAGGACAATTTCATACTTACAAAATGGATTGCTTTTATGTCATGTTGTCTACACTCTCCTTCTACTGATACGAAGCCTAGATCTGCATAGAGTATGAAGGGGGTTAAACAGACTGGGTTAATTGTTTAACATAATAATTCGTTATTGTCTCAAAATGAGCAATTGATTGTAGGCTGGAATACTGTAAATGACTCATGGTGTGGTTCCAGTGCACACGCCCAAAGAGCGTTGTTTTTATATCGGACACAAAATTAAATAATGATATACTGACAACATTTTAAAATGCAACACTTAGATAAGTGGCCGGTTTATCTTTAACGTTCACAATC